TATATATATATATATATATATATATATATATATATATATATATATATATATATATATATATATATATATATATATATATATATATATATATATATATATATATATATAGCTCCGTTGATAATAAAGGTTAATAAAGGTTAAAGGTTTTATACGCCGAATTTTAGTCGAGTCGAATGCAATTCAAACAATATATAATGAAACTTAATGAGGTTTATCATCTCATTATCTATTGTCTTAATTGCATTCGACGTGACCAAAATTCGATGTATAAAACAGGCCTTAGATACAAATGAATTATATTCAAAACTATTAAAGTAGAACTGTCACTATGTGATCTTTGAATTTTGTGAAATGACATAGAATATCGGTATCGGAAAAATATCGGTCCTTCAATATCGGTTATCGAAATATCGGTGAATTTCCATACCGGTGCATCACTGTTTATTTTCCACCAAAAACGCAAAGCTCACCTGTACTTATACTTCATGTAAATATCTATGTGGCTAAATTAGAAAACTTACCCTCTCTCCACGTGAGCCAGCGGTTCCAGGTGGTCCTGGGGGACCCTATATTGACAGAAAAGGTGAATGAGGAATAATCAAGTAATGCACAATGCTTTTCCGATACTTGACATTATGCTTTTCATAGTTGATTTTTCATTTTTTCTTGTCATATATTTCTTTTGAAAATTAAGATAAACGAGTTACGGTAAAAAAAGTATTTGGTTCCACAATGAAACTAATTTAATACACCCTTGCGGAAAGTATCTAACTTTGGCTATAGAGCCTCGTTTTCGTGTATGTAACATTAGTTAAGCCTAACGTTAAAACGCATGCATTAAAACGCAGCTTTTGCGTTAAACACTTTAGGCTGGACCACTCTTGAACAACGTAGATCTTATTTGTTTTGAGTGTCTAAATAATCATACCTCACATGGATTTGAACTTCTAGCGAACAGAGAAATACATAACTACAATACGCGATATAAGGACAATTTAAGGCCACCTAAAGTGTCAAGGAATTGGGGAAAGCAAAGACTCGCTTATACCAGCCAATAACAGACTGGAACAACTAGGACAGAAAGATAAAACTCTCTAGTAGTATTTCTACATTTAAGAGAAACTTTTTAGCAATCTTTGAACTTTCTCTCGTATGATATTTAAATATTTTTCATAGTTTTGTAGTATATGCATGTCTTCCTTGTAAATTTGTTTATTTAGTTCAGGACCTTTCTGAAAATCATTTTGTGAGAAAGCTTCCTGAAAATAAATATTAAAAAAAAAGAAAAAAAAAGTCTCAATAACGAAAACGAGGCTCCAGCATTTTTCGCAAAGTCCTTTTCAAAGACGTCATTTTTCGCAAAGTCCTTTTCAAAGACGTCATTTTTCGCAAAGTCCTTTTCAAAGACGTCATTTTTCGCAAAGTCCTTTTCAAAGACGTCATTTTTCGCAAAGTCCTTTTCAAAGACGTCATTTTTCGCAAAGTCCTTTTCAAAGACGTCATTTTTCGCAAAGTCCTTTTCAAAGACGTCATTTTTCGCAAAGTCCTAAAGACGTCTTTGCAAAGACGTCATTTTTCAAAGACGTCAAGAGGAAAATTCTGAGGCAGACCTGTGGCAAGTCTAACTTTCTGGAAGCGTGTATTCACTTGAATCATGTCAGATTTTAAACATTCCATGTTGACATAAGCAAACAAAACATGTCATGAAAAAGATGTTTATTGTAGTCAGGTTAATTGCAGTCGGTTTATTGCGTTTTATACTGTAGTCTGGTTTCTTCAAGGACAAGTTTAAAGTGCATATGACATGAAATTTCTTATTTTCTTAAATGAAAAAACTCTTTTCTACATTTTACAACTGTAGCACTGAGTTCAAAATGTAAACAAAGCGCTTGTTTACATTACGGACTTTACATCACCTTTAAGTTGTAGTGTAACTTATTTTTCAGTTTCTTGTTTCTATGGTTTGTTCCCGAGATATTTCAATTTGTTTGATATGTAAATGAGTGTGAATATGTCCGCTAATTTATGACGTCATGCTGGTTGCAAGCTCTTCAAAATGCTTGAATATCACTGCTATTATCCAAGATGATAATTTCAAACTTCACTCACTGGTAAATGTGATGAAACACTGGAGAAAAACGTGAACTGATATCAACAGTTTTTGGAGTTAATACATTTATAACCAGTGTAAGTTGAGCTTGCAACCAACATGACGTCATACATTAGCGGACATATTCACACTCATTTACATATCAAACAAATTGATATATCTTGGGAACAAACCATAAAAACAAGAAACTGAAAAATAAATTACACTAAAGAGTTCTTTCATTTAAGAAAATAAGAAATTTCATGTCATATGCACTTTAAAGGAATACAGCGCCATTTTTGAAAATCGTTTGTTTAGTCAGCTAATAAATGTTAGAAAAAGTGTCTAAAAATTGAAATCAGTGGAATGTAGCTGGCAGGGTAAGTCGTTCATAGATGTGAAAATCTGTTTGGTTGCAGCAAGAAGAGGGTCTGGGACTAGACTACCAGCACCTCTGCAAGTGATAATTGTTTCCGTCAGTTCTTCAGTTGTAAACAGAAAACATTCCTATTAACTTCTAAATGTCACGTTTCGTGCTAGTATGCGGTTATACGGATATCTCGCATTTTTTTACTACAATTCCATTATTACTTGTAGGAAAAACAATAAAATTACACGAACTTACCGGATTACCAGAGCTGCCCTGATATCCAGTTGGTCCAGGTAGCCCAATCGCACCCTAAGATAAAGAAATTTCCTCTGTTAGAAAAGAAACACATCAAGTAAAACACATTCAAAACGACAACGTCGCAATATATAAAATACACTTTCCATCGTCCAGACTTTCATGAACAATGATGGAGCGAAATCTAGTAAGTGCGCCAGTTAACAAAGGTCTTAATAGATTAAACATCATAAATAAGAGAACGTTTCTTTAATATCTTCTGTCATAGTAATGAATTCTTACCCATCTCCTCGAGGTCTTATACAATCTTATTAGACGTTCACCAACATACGCTGTACAGTAGGTACCTTTTTTACTAAATAAACTACATATATAGTGCTATTTTCTTGCTCTTTCTTGTTTTGGTCCAGCACTACCTCATTAGACATCAGGGAGCTTTAGATTTGACTACGGAATATCTGCTCCAAAAAGCTTAAAAGTATACGTAGTTTGGTTGAAGTGTTGTTTTAAAGATGTGCTATGCCAAAGAGAGAACGATATAGCAAGTCTCAAGTAGCAGAAATTGAACGGAAAAATCTCGTAGTCCAATCTAAAGCTCCCTAGGTAGAGTACCATTTTTATCAAATAAACTACATGTACTACCTAATTAAACACTCCGATTAATAAATAGCTACGGCTTCTTAATTGTATAATCTACAGTACACAGGTCTCAACTCAACATGTGTTTTGCAGTAGTTAAATACTTCAATCAAGTTTGTAAATATTGTTAATTGCTACCTAAGGAATACAAAATGGTTTTCCGTGTGTCATCCATGCACGCGGGATGTTGCGAGACTTTCGGAAAGCGTAAAAGTCATGAACCGCAGACGAGTGTTTTTTTTACGCTTTTCGAAAGTCAACAACATCCCAAGTGCATGAATGACGCTATCCTGCACGGAAAACCATTTGATAATTGTTTTATAAAATAACTACAGTGGAACAACGATTAACTTTATTAGATTTATTGATGAAATGTGCAATTTTCACAACAATCGTAAACTAACCAATCAGAGACAGAGTTTGTTAAGTCGCTAAACCCCCCTTCCCCCCCCCCCGAATGTTCTTTATATCTAACTTCACACGTTAAAATGTTTTCATTGTCCGACATTTTAAAAAGCCCAGGATCAGGCAATTGTATATTGACCAATCAAATGGCGTGTTGTTTATTATATAAAGTATAATACTGCTGTTTTCTTACCCTATCTCCTTTCTGTCCAGCACTACCTTGCACACCTTCAGCACCCACGTCACCTTTGGAACCTTTAGTACCCGATTTTCCTGGATCACCCACTCGACCTTGGTTTCCAGGACGTCCCCCTGTCCCAGTTTCTCCCTTCTCACCGCCTGCACCAGGTACACCCCGTCTACCTGCGATACCAGTTGAACCTTGTGGACCCTAGAATGAATATATGTCTTTCAGTTCTTGTAAACTGTTGGTGGTCTTGTAAACATATCATGCGGACTTGTGTGTGTAGAGTCAAGAATGTCTTATTGATTACCATCTTGTGTCTGGCTCCCTTGTTTGGCTAACATGAATATCAGGCCTTTAATGTTTATTGTCTCACACTGTACTTGCAAGTGATGAACCAGGCGGGAATCGTAACCGTATTATAACAATTACGCATCGTACATAACATAACGTAAACGTACAGTACGGTACGCATAAACATCATTTATTATATAAAGTATGGTACTTTATAGAGATTTTGAGCACTGACAAAAGTGATAATCTCACATGTGAGATCATTTATGATAATCTGACATGTGAAAATTATTGCTTTTCAATTTTGGCTTTTGTGTAAAAATTATCGCTTTTCAAAGAATGTCCTTTATATAATAAACATAAAAATACATGGGTGCTTGGAAATACCAGATTTATTTCTCGTGTTGAACATGATATCTCACTCGTTCGCTGCGCTCACTCGTGAGATATCATGTTCAACACTCGAAATAAATCTGGTATTTCCGCGCACCCATGTATTATTCTCTATATAAAATGCAGGAATAAAGAAATACACTAAAATAATAATCGGTCGTGAGGGATCCTTCCCTTGTGCCAGCTTATTATTTCAGCCCAAGGTGAGATCTGACAGTATTCAGGTTTGGTCATTCTTGCCTTGCCTTGTGGCAGAGCTTTCTCTCCACCCACATTCTTCGCTCTTCCCCTACCCCTTTTCTGTTAGGTACATGTAATTTTATATATTTTAAATACACACGTAAAAATTGAGAAAATCAACAACTTGTTCCAGGTTGATACCAACAGGCGTGAACAAAGTTGTGCGGCCAACTATGAACAGTACTGTCAACATGTTGTTACAGCATTGTTCAACTGTAACAACTTAGAACAACATGGTTGACAACTTGTTCATAGTTGGCCGCACAACATTGTTCACGCCTGTCGATATCAACTTGGAACAACCTGTGCGTTTTTAGCCGTGTAGCATGTGTACATGTAAAACACTATTAATTGCATTTTCCCATTAACAGTGTGAGTGGCATGGAGGTAATCTATATACGCCTTGCCAGAATTGGTATGGCCAACTCGTTTGTTGCTGCCATTGCTATAGCAATTCTCTTTGTAGATGCAGCTTTGGATGATTATGGTACCTATAAATATGGTACCTATAAATAATTCATCTCTCAGCTATAAAGTCAAAAAGATGAGTAGTTGAAACATACCTGCCCACCAGGTGGTCCAGCTGTTCCAGCTTGTCCATTGGCACCCTATGTGCAAAAACACAAATTAATAAAGCCTAGAAAATATTTTCTAATGGCCCTTGCATATATCTCATTGGCAAAAGACATGTGCATAATGATAAGACGTTCACAACATGACCACATCAGTTCCCAGACTTGTTGGGATAGCAAAGCAAACTAAGGCTGATAGCTATCAGTGAGAAGAATAACGACACCCTCCCCTCCCTCGCCTAACTTGATAAACATAATAGGTCAAAAATGTTTTTTCATAGTTCGGTATTACCATCTTCTAGGCTTTGGCCCATTGTGCTAGCATAATGTTTGGCATAATTAAAACAAACAAGCATAATTTATAAAAAAGCACTATTCAAACATAATTATAAAATTTTTGCACTTTTTGTGCCTATGAGTGTTACAATTTGCTTGTGAGTGTGAGTTATGAAGCCATATAGGCGTTTATAATTAGCTATTAAGAGTATAGCTGTTATCATTCCCAAATAGACCAACTGTTGTAAACCAATAAAATTTATAACAATGAAATACTCGAAAATTTCGCAGAGGTCAGGAATTTCGCTTGACACTGGTCAACCACTAAATGTTCATTCGCGTACAAGTTAAATAAGTGGCATTTAAATTGATTTAACTTTTCCGAGCATGATGTCATAATCATGCAGAAAGAAAACTGCAGAAACTAAACACAGAATTGGGAGACATATCTAAGGCACAATACAATATATTGTATGAACCATAATGTCTAGAATAGATATCCAGTCATACACTACACTGTACATGTAGATTTAATCAAGTGTCAAATTATTATGCCAAGCTTTTTATACATGTATGTAACTACAACTTACCTGTGGACCTTTGGATCCCTGAGAACCCTTAGAACCAGCCTGGCCAGGTTGACCCTGTTTTGAAATAAAAATGAAAATTACACAAAGTAAGCACTCGTTGAGTGTAATATAACTCGTCCAGTATAATATTTAACAATGGTTAGTGTGAGCAGGGTTCGCGCAAGAAGTGGTCCACGTTTGACTTTTTCAAACACTGCAGGTTTTCTCAAGTATTCATGTTTCATTCTGCACTACCATTAGGAATGGCCCTAGTGGTTAAAGCGGTTTAGAACAAACAGAGCTATGTGACAGTCTACACGTATATAATTTAGTTTAGTTTGTCATTGTCAGGACACATCTGAGTAGAAACATGGGCAACTAAATTTACGAACTTACAACTTGTCCGTCTTGTCCGTCTCTTCCACTATCACCAGGTTCACCCTAAAACAAAATAATATGACTCAGTTGCCAAAAGTGAAGAAAGTTTACAATAAATTCTATACAAATAAATGAAAGTTAGGGCGCAATGTCCAAATCAAAATCTTGCTTGCATGCAGTATAAAGATACACTTTATCCTTTTTTTTTCAATCAAGAATCTCATTCTGTTGCTGAATTAACTGTTACTTGTAGATGAGCACGCCCGAGATGGAAAAAATAGTCAAGCATGGCTCAGAAAATGTTAAACAGCTGTAGGAAATCTCCAAGATGGAAAATTTGTAACTGAAAATTTGAATACAAACACGCATCTCCCACTAACAGGTTTCGAAATAACTGTTTGTCTACCTGTCGATTTTCACAAACAACACTATGTTAGGACACTATGTTTATAGACAGATTTACGTTGACACAAATGACACTATGTTAGGACACTATGTTTATAGACAAAAAATACTCAGAATGGTCTGCAGGGATTTTTACCTCCAGGTTGTGCTCTGAAGAAAATAATTTTCTCAACCTTGCAGAGCTGTTGATGGGACTGTTGACAGAATAGCAAGAGATTGGCTCCAAATAGTCAATAGAATAAATTAATATGGCTTGGGTATTTGGTTCATGTAAGAAATGAACGGTTCGCAATCAAGGCCGGCAGAGGGGGGGGGGGACAAAATACCCGGGAGTCGGAAATCTCGGTAAAATGTTCGTATTGTTTATCATCGTTTTATGTTTGTCCTAAATGAAATACGCCTACTTGCACACCATTCGCTGATCGTCGTCATCGATCGTAAAACGTACCAAATGTGAAATAAACGATTTTTCGATCGTTTTCTCAGCAAAAACAGTTAGCTGAAACATTGTTCACATTGCGTTTTTATCAGTTATGCGGCGATTTCTTGAAAGTAATTTGCTGGCAATTCTCTCGTTGATTGCGATTCAAAAAGCCAGCGGGAGAGCCGAGAGGGACAGGGGGCCCGTGTTCATGTCCAATCGTCATTTTGTCCTGGGGCCCGTGGTTGGCTCTCGCCGGCCTTGTTCAAAATCGTGTTTTGCACTTTCATTCAACCAACCAAAAGCACAGTGTGGGTTTAATGATATCTTTGATATTACACTATTACAGTTAAAACAATGTTATGTCAAAATTTTATGACCCACGCCCATCTCATATCTAAACTTTTAGCATCCTTTATTCCCTTCAAATTCTGGGGCAATAGCCACGGTGATAACATTGGTGCCACCAATCCATTCGAGGCGTAGACCACAAATTTCTAGGAGTCCCCTGAGAGTCCCATAGACGTTTCTAGGCCTATGGGGTCATTAAATTTCGAAAATCTGAGAGCTCTGATTGCTTGCATTCTGAGACCACTCGATCCTGGTCACCATACAATGTTTATTCAAAATCACATACACTTGTCACTTCAAAGAGAGTGGGTAACTGTGACATTTATCATGCCCCAATATTTCCGTGAATATACACTGTATTGCCTATTGGTGCAACAAATGTCATAATTAATAAGGGTAGCTAAAATGCGGAGGAATTTAGGAAAACATTATAGAACAATGGAACGAACGACGGTAGTTTAACCCAAAATAAGATGAATAATATATTGTCCGGAAACTTTTTTACGTTCCTCTTTCCCTATGCTCTAATACTTTTCTTTATGTTTTTTAGTGGTTGGAGTGACTCTGCAAAAAATAGGCAAATCTCGGTTACATCCTCCCCATTCATAGAGGTCTAATGCCAGCCCTGCAATGTAGTTTTGGACAACAAAACAAAGCTAGGTCGTCTATATCTTGGACATTATAAACGATTTTACTAAAATTCAACCACCTAATGCTTTTTCAGTGTCTAAAGCTACATATTAGGGCAAAAAGCAAGACATTTTAACTTACCCCCTCTACTGTCAGTTGTTAGACTATATACTGTAATCGCCTTGTTGGGCATCTGAAAACTACCCAACCTCTCCCTGCCCCGCAATCTTTCCAAACCTCTCTAATAAATGAAAGCCTCCTAACAATCCAAGTCAATGCTTTTCATTTGTGAAGCTCGATTTGCTTGTTAATCACGCTATGAAAAGACTCGCAGGCAACGAAACTCTTTCTCTCTCATTGCTTTCTGTTTTGATACCATGGGCAGACAATTTAAGATTGCTTTTAAATTCTACTTACAGCATCACCAGGTGCGCCAGCTTCTCCTTGATCACCAGCCAGGCCAGTTTGACCCTAGATATAAAAGTAAAATCAATATTAATAAAAATATACAACACCTAGCATCAAATGCTGCTGAAATATACAACTTACCGTATTTCCTCTATTTAATCCCCAGCCTCTTTTTAACCCACCCACCCCTCTCTAATTACCACCAAGTCCAGAAGCCGCTGACAAGAAGCTCCACCCTCTATTTACCACCATCCTCTATTAACTCATTCCCAATCTAACTTTGTAGAGAAATATGAACACATATGTTCTATATACCTGTAGCGTTCATGGATAATGATGTGTGGCTCCAGCCTCTACCC